CTCAAACATACCAAGTTCTGCCCTCAGACTCTGAGTGTTCTTTGGCTTGGAATGATACCTGCCACTTCCAGGGTTCAATTTATTTTCTTATTCAGCTACCTTCTTTCAAACAAATGTGGGTGCAAATACTCAGCCTTTCTTTTGCAGGTAGTTTCTCTGGCATAATTGAAGAAGATGCTCTACAGAAGCTGACTTTTTCAAAATATAATTCACTTCCCTGCATATATAATCAAATGTCTGTCTCCTGCTCTCCAGAGGAATGTCTGAACCTTGGGGAAAACAAATTGCTTTCAGTCAGTGTGGCTCTCCAGCTTCTTGATGCAGCTGAAGTGGGAAAATAACATGTGGTTTTATACATCAGCAAGCACAGACTGCTCAAATACAGAGATGGGCATTATCAGTTCTCGTTAAATGGACCATTTATACTGCAGCTCGTCTGCAACACAGAGGCAAACGGTGAGCATGCTGCACGGTCTTTCACAAGTGTTGAGCCTGACTTTCCCTGCCTTGCTCTGGGTGAACGACAAGAAAACAAATGGAAAGAGAGCACTGAAGATCTGAGCTGGCAGCCTTTGCCAGCCATTTTGCAGAAGAGGACTTTGGAGAAGCAGAAGGTGGCAAAGGCTGGATCCTACCTGGAGCATTCCTCTAGGAGGAAAATGTGCATCCCTTGCACGATACTGCTTGGCTGGTACAAGCGTTCGTAAGAACTCCCATATAGCTCTCAACAGCCTGTGACAACACAGCTTTTGCCATTTGGTAAGGAAAATAAGCTTTGTGCTGGTACCCCTACGTCTGTGCCAGTTACATCAGCACAGCAGCAAAACATTTTGGCATAGGGCAGAGGGGGGACTGGGTCAGCTGAGGGAGCGGACTTGGCGTTTGGTGCTTTGAAAATCCTGCTGTCAGTCTCTCGGGAAGTGAGAGCTGTTGACGAAAGGCAGTGTAATTATTGGCTCTGGATTGTAGTAAGATAACAGCATAAAAAGTTAACATTCCCCAGAAGAAATAAAGGTGTTAAAAGCAGCTGGGTAAATACCGGATAATGAAAGAACGCAGCATGATTTCCCCAGGTTCAAATAAAGCAGACAAGTATTTTTGCAGAATTGACCTTATTAAAGAGACATTGTCACTTTAAAAATTAATCCAACCCCCAAACTATTATAGCAATAAGTGAAGACAAAGTTACCTACTAAACATAACAATTAATTCCACAAAAATGTCAACCCTTTTACTTCCATTTTTACTTTTCTCTGTAGTGAACTACTAGGGCTGTATACGTATTTTCACTTTTCTTTACTGTTGACTGACTTTTTGACACAATGTTGATAGTCTCTACCAGAACATCCAGTCATTCATTCTTGGTATTAATTATTCTTCATTAGGCTTAGCATCTGTATTCTACTTTACAATAAATTAATACATAATACTGAGGACAGGGAAATGAAATGGAAACTTATTGTGGGAAATCTCAACTCAGTTGTTTCATGGAAACGTTTTCAGCTCAATCGCTGCAGAACATTTCCTGTACATCTTCCCTAAGATGTTTTTCACCATGTGAGATCTTTTTTATTAAAAAAACCAAACCCTTTAAAATGAAATCTTTTAAACAAAAGCTTGATCTTAAACTAAACAACAAGGCTTGCATACTAATCCAGTGTCTGTACCTCCAATATGCCCAGCCAGAAATACGGCGAGAAGAATAAACAATCTTTTAAAATCTTATTCTTTCCAAAGTGAACCGTGCAGGCTTCACACTCATATCTATGACACCGTGATTTGTGTTTCAACCTCTGTTAAGAGATGTAGCAAAGAACTTCATTACCTAAACTAATTAGACTTCAGTAAAGGCGTTCATGAGGAAACTACAGCCTACAACATGAACAACAGGATCGTAACATGACACAGCAGAAAATCTGGTGCATAATTACTTACCCCACTGCAAATAGTTGGGCAGGTCCAGAAGCATATGGATACTTATTCTCTTTAAATCTATGGACACTGAGGACCTTGACAATTTTAAACATCCCATTAAGTGTCCATTTAATCTTAAAAGGACTGAAGTATCTTAAAATCATTTTCTTTGAGTCTTTATATGGCGCTAGCATTTTGTCCCCTAGCGATGCATACCTCTGCTTTGACAAACACTACGTGGTCCTTCACAAGGGATGACACCACGAGCAGAAAGCTGGGCTAATGACAACACCGAGGAGCCTGTGCACAGCTAATAAACCTCCTGAAAATCCTGAACCGCGAGCCAGGCACGAGGGCTGCGTTGTGCAGTGGGTGCAGACTGCAAGCTACTACTACTAAGTGCATGTTGGAGAAACGATAACAAAAAGCTGCAGTTTATTAGTCCAGCGTGGAGTATGTTTCTTCAATAAATTATACCATTGCCAGTAAGTCAGGTTTTACTGTGTGGATTAAAGCATTTACTTTTGCCTGTTTTTTTGCACGTTTTGGCTCCAAGTCTAAGACTAAGATTGGACCTAGCCACACCTAGACTCCTCTCTGAGAAGGAGTTCAGAAAGCAAGGGTGTCTACTCTGAGCCTCGTGACTCAACAGGAGGGTCCTCCTTATCCTGTGTCCACAATCTCTCTGTTAATCATTCTCATTTGAGTGTAATTTTCCTTTGTGTACTTCTTCCATGTAGTGATAGGGTGAACCTTGCCATCTTTGAATCTTTAACTGAGTTGCTGCTCTGATTAATTTTTCCAAATCACTTTGTAAATTGACTGATGATAGAGTGCTATTAAAACATCACAATCAAATTCTGCCATTTGCCACAAGTATATTCTAAACTGCTACTAAATCAAACTGTGTAAAGTCACTCATTCAAGACAAATTAACATAGTCAGCAGGATTCACAAATTCATTTGCAACAAGGTCCCTTCCAGTGCAAACCATTCTGTGATTCTATGAAATACGGATGCTAATACCCATTGTATTACACACACAGAACAGCTGGCCCTCCTATGCCCTCTGAGCAACTCAAAGCTGAACGTAAGTCAACTCGTTATTGAAGCGGGCTGTTACCTAGGCAGTACTTCTTTCACAAGGCACAAGAGATGTTAAGATCTGGACTTTTCTTTGAACATGACCTTCCCTGCTAGTTACAATCACTGAGCTGCTTCAAATTTGTGATGAGGTGTGTGAGAGTTACAAATCAGCTTTCTATTATTAGACATACAGATTATCTGTTAAGGATAATAAACTGATACTGCAACCAATATTCAGATGTTGCACTGTATTAGTGTAACTGATTAAAGCTATTGGCCCCAACGTCTTGTCTGTGATCAGTACTGTTTTTCCTTTTTTGTATTGTATACAGCCTAGAGTCTGGGCTTGCGAAGAAATCTTGGAAGAGGCTCACATTCAAGAGAGGGTACTTCAGCTTTCAAGCGCTCTTTGAAGCCCTGAGCACAGCTCAGGTCTTCCCATCGGCTTTTCTTGCACAGGACCAAACTCCTTTCTGCAACACCTGAGCCTCCTCCTAGACTGCTCTGACCCACCTCCAAGGTAGGACAGACCCTACCTTTACCTGCCCACACCTTGGGGACGATATATCAGATGTATTAAAACACACAGACCCTGACAGACCCCTCTCTCTGTGAGAGCGATGACTTCTATGAAAAGACTGAAGAATGCAATAAAAAAAATAATTAGGATTCACAGGCTAATTACTGCATACATTTTCTAATGCTAATAGCAATATGAAATGCTCACTAATTGTTGTTTATTGCAGGATGAATATTTAAACTTGTCAAGAGAAGTGGGGGAAAAAAATATGGTTTGTTCCACTTGGGATAGATGCCAACTGCAGACACACGTACACTGTAAAATTTTAATTTTTCAAATTAAATTGGCACCCTATTAATATAAAGACATAGAAACTCCATATATGAAAAGCTGCAAGATATATGATCACAGTACCCTCAGAGCATAGCATTCAAATACAGTTCCAAAAAACTCAAAACAGGCTTGAATATCATGAAATACTAACAAATACAGGTGTTTCTTTTAATTAGCCTTTTCCTGTTCCTGTTTTTGGGGTTCATATTTACAGGCTTCTTTCTGTCAACTAGGAAGGTTTAAAAGTCTTTTTGAAATGTAAAATTATACTCTCATCAATCTAGAGAAATTCAGGAATAAGAACTTAAAAATACCCACCTAAAATTGTGACAGTTGGCAGCATTGCAATCAAAAAAGCTTTTGAAGGTATTGCAATATTGCCATTTACATTTTCCCCTTTTCTGCTGAGCAAGTGTGATGATACTGGTTTACCAAGAAAAGGACTGCAGCAGGTTGCAAATATTTAAGACCGTTTTGAGGGGTAGCCATATTCATAGTTCAACTGAAGTAAGTTTAGAAACAATAGTGAAAAGCTGAAGTTGCTCCAGGATATAAGGCTAGGTACATCTGTATATGCTGAAGATCTGGAGTACCAGCTACAACTGTAGAACACAGACTGCAGAGGTAACATTCAAAGCCTATTAAGAACACAACATTAAACAGTAAATTAGCTAGAATAACAGAAAATCAGAGAACAGAGGACTTGTGGGTCACCCACTTAATCTCTTCATGTCATCTGCTATACCGCAGCTTATTACAAGAATACATAAATACAAGAATAGTAAATCAGTACTTACTTTATGTAATAAATAACCTTTCTACAGAAATTATGAAAATACAGCAACAGTAAAGTTAGTGCAAAAATGATCAAAATGTACTGAAGGAACACTGAGCCCTGCCTGCCAGAATGTGCATCATAAAACACCCATATTTCACCTACCACATCATACGCTGACAAGACTTAAAAAATGCACAATGCACATTGCTAACTCTGCCATTCTAAAGTTACAGCTATTTACAATGTCAGAGAAATGAAATTAAAACAACGCACATGCTTTTAAACTGCACACTTCATTCTTTCTCATTATTTTGCTGGATTTTAAATAACTTCCTCTTCCCTAATTGATACTTTGAATGGAAGTCGCCCTCACGAGTCCGTATTTGCACGAGCAGCCTTTTTGGAATTAAGAAAGTTCTTTTTCTTTTTCCTTGGAGAATTATGCAAAGAAAGCATTGGATCACTCAGTTCACGGAACAAAAATACCTTCTCCCCTGTGTCTAATAACTCTACGGCTTTGGCAGTTGCAGTGTTCAAAGGAATAGGTGGATCAGACTGTTCCATAGGAGGACGGGTAGGCGAACATCCAAGATGAATGAATGATGCTTTTTCCAAGAGGGCAACTTGCTTCTTCTTTATCAAGCTACGTTAATGAAAAAAATTGAATTGAAAAATTAAAACTTGGGCAAAAAAAGCATAGCTTCCTCTATCATATCCCAACATAGAAGTGGTGACTTTGGAAGCTAAAGAAAAATATATTTCAACAGACAGAATTGTCATTTCCATTCCAAACCCCGATAATTTACACATCATTTTATGCGATACAAAACTGCATAAGCAAAGGTAACCTTATCATAAATAACCTTAGGGAAGATGGGCAATGCATATGAAAAATGCGTGAATTTTGTGGATATGTATGGAAAAATCTTTTTAAGCATTTACTTAATTGCTTATTATGTGTAAAAATGTTGGAGGAAACACTAGCACCAAACAGCAGGACAGTTTCAGAAAATGCAGCTTTATGAACTTATTTTCTGATTTCTAACAGGTATAAGAGGAACCTTTGGAGATGATAGGAAGTATAAAAAAAAAAAAAAAAAAAAAAAAAAAACAAACCAAAATCCTGTGTTTCTTCTGGTTTTCTCCTTACCTGTCTTTCCTCTTGTTTGGAGAAGGGATCTTTTCCAAAGTTCTGTTTATCAGATCTTGCCTTATTTTTTTCTCCAGTGCTTGCCACAACTCTTGGTTCTTCCTGAAGGAGCAGGAAAGAAAAAAATTCCCAGCAGCAAATCCCCAAATATACACAATTTCCTCCCCTTTCTGATTTTAGCTACCAAACCCATGACAATAACACCATGAAAAAGTAAAAGCGTTCAAGGATTTTTCTGCCCTGCCACAAATCATTTAAATCAGCTAAGATCACACCTCAGGGTTCATTGACAACTCACATCTGATGACTGAAGGGTCCAGTGCCACAACATCTGTTTTTCTCTCCTTCCCATGTCAAAGCAGGGAGCTGGGAGAGTGGGTCTGGGAGCACCTCTTGGTGTTAGCTGCACAGCTATTCAGCTGGTGTTAATAGGGATAAACTGGAGGGATGAAGGCTCTGAGAGACTACCTGTCTCTGTGAGTAAAGGGAAAAACAGGGGCCACTTGGGACTTTAGTAATGAACTACAAAGGGACAGGCATCTGCCAGGTTGAAACTTCCATTATTAGAAAGGAGGACTCCTTTGTATCTTTAGGAGTAGGAGCTACAGACACCCGAAATCTGGTGTGCTATGAATATTATAAATACAAAAAGTTAAAGGAAAATATTTTCGTAAACTCCAATTAAAGTCAACAGAAAGAAAATTATCAGAACAAGATTTATGCATCTATAAAAAAGTTTAATTTATAAAGTTATAAAATTTATTAACTCTTAATCAATTAATTTATTGTATTACAATATTTCACAAAATAAGGTAGCAGTTTCAAAGTATTTTTACCCCGCAAAAATATTTCAAAAGGAAACTTATGCACCTGAGATTTTTTCCATTGCTGTCAATCTGCTCATCCAGAAAACACATATACATGTAAAGCAATGATCTTCTCTTGCAATGGTCTACCAAAAAAATATCACAGTTACCTTTTCTTACAGCTGCCAGACTCATCTGCATTACTGTCACTTTCAGCAACGCTATCTGAGTATTTACTGATGGAATCGAGGACAGAAAGAACCTCGCTTTGTGAGCTGGAGGGCAGCAACAAGTTCAGGATCCTGTGCAACAACCCCATTGGTACCCTCGTCAGTTTAGCTAAATAACCCGCCAGTCGGAGCTCCTAGAGGATTAATGAGTAGAAAACAGATATATTTAGCATTGGGGGAAAAAAAAAGTGTTAGCAAATTTTAATTACTACGGTTAAAGAATTACTCATTACAGAAGCAAAAAACATTACTGAAAATCATGCTAGTCATGACAGTTTTGGTGTCAAATGGCCATGGTGCCACGTTCACTGTTGCTACCCACACTGGCCCATATATATTATAGCTGTCCATTTCATTTTGGATATAGGCAATGTAAATGTGAAACAACCAGCTGACCTTAGTGTATGCACTTAGGGCATCTACTCGATGCCCTTTGTTCTGAAAAAATCACAATGCAACCATATTGTAGCGTGTACGGTTTAGTTAATTTATGGATTGTACCATTATAAAGAAATCCTTTCAAGACAGCAATGAAGCAATATGGCATTCCTTGGTCTGTAAAATTAGGGGGGGAAAAAAAAAAGCCTCTGAAACCTAAAGACAACATTTACATGTTGCCATGGTTGACTACTTCACGGTTCAGCCTCTTTTAACAGCAGATTCTGTGATTAGCTCAGAGAACAGCTTGTAATATTTGTTAAGAGGTGAAGGAAACATCTGTTTTTGTTTCGGTGGTTTGGTTTTTTTTTCCTCCAAACATCCTCTCTTTTTTTGGCCCAAAGATCAGTGGTAAAGCCTACTCACATGGTGTTCAAATAGCCTCAGTTCAAATTGAGCTGTTCCCTAAACAATCAACCAGCACCATTTCCTACCCCCTTCCAAACACCAAAACCTCACTGTTATTTTCTGCTCTGCTGTCAAAACTACTGTACCCCCAGGGCTGTTACTGTGGATTTCTCATGCATACTAAATATGAAAAGTCTCCAATATATTGCGAACTACATGGAAAGAGAAGAGTAGAGCAAATTAAAGCAAGGTAAATGCCTCAAAGAATGCGAGTAAAATGTTGCACACTATTTAAACCATACACGTATATCAGGTAGGCAAAGTTAAGTAATAAATGCCAAATGTTCGAGATGACTCATGACGGCTGAGTCACCTCCGCTCTGCAGACCCTCCTATATGGGGCAGATGACTACAAAGCCCATGTCACATAAAAAAACCACAAGGTCCCACCATGCAGGAAGACAGGACATTTCTTTGTCCACAGTGGATTCAAAATGTCACAGCAAATGTTTGAACTCTGCCTCTTTTTGGCATGACAAATTTTCAGAGGAGCAAATGCACCTAGGAGATCCCTGTATTAAGTGAAGCTGCTTCTTTGAAAGAAGCCATTTCACCAAAAGGATGCTCTGTAAAGGAAAATTCTTTCTGGTAAATTCATGTGAAAAATAAAGCAGTTGCCCCCAAAGCAGCCCTAACACAAATTTGGACAGCCACACAAAATAAAGAAATCAAGTCAACCTCCTTTTCCCATAACGGTTCTCCAAGCAGAGAACTCTGCTCCAAAAGGCAGCAAAACTAGCCACCTCTCAAAGTTCCCTGGGCTCTTCAGTGTTGTTACAGGTTTTTCATGGAAACCACTGAGATACTAGAATGAACAAGACAAAATCCTAAGACTGATGAGAGATTAGTAAATTGATGCGGTATCCAAAAAGTCCAATATTTTCACCCTAAACAGGCACCAAAGTTAGGTAAAAGAGATGTCTGTTCAGGCTACTTAGGGCAAGAAATTATTTGATTCTTCTCTGGAGAGGAATGTAAATAAGAGCTTAAATCTTAATACAGACACCTAAGTTTAATTCTGTAGTTGTATACAGACTGTATTGTACTTTTGGTCTTTAAAAAAAATTCTTCTAGAAACTTAGAAAAGACATTGAGAATAAAAATGACGCATCTCTGACCCATTCTGCCCTTTTTGGCTAAACAGTCTCAGGACCTGTAACTCAGTAATTTATACGCAGATGATCGAAACATCATGGCTTCAGTACTGCTTTCCTCTGCAATAGTTTCCTCTTTAAAATGTTCTTTTCTCCACTCTGACCCTTACCTTTCTGCACCAAGCATGATTTGGACCAAGAGGCAGCCCTTAATGCTTTTCTAACACAGCAAAATTCATGATTAAGTAGGGCTGCAAGGTGCCACAACGCTGTCAACAGTAGCAGAAGCGGCACGGGCACCGTCTAGCATATGTACGGCAAAGGGAGCGCTGATGTGTGAACATGCACCCGCAGTGAGCAGCACTTTCAGATGCTCACAGCTACCCAGACCAGCTTGCAGCAGCGGGAAGAAGTGAATGTGCCTGCAAACGCAGGAATGGTCACACGAGTCAGATCAAAAGCCCTCCAGCATGGGATGAGTTTGATTCTTCAGGTAAGGTACCCCAAAGACACGGAATTCACTTTTTTCATAACATCTAATGGATACAAATGCTATTTGCGCCGCCAATAACCTCATTTGTGTTCTCTGAATTTGGTCAAAATAAAAACAGGAATGAATTGCAGTTTACAAACAGCACAATTACTTTTAAGTATTTGGATTGAACAATGTGTATTTAAACAACTAATGCAAGAATCAGTGAACTCGATCCATGCTGTGCTTCAGGCTTTCTGTGCTGTTTCCACATGACAGTCTGCCTGCATCATCTGTTGTCTCTAAAATGCAACTAGTGTGCCTGGGGCTATAGCTATGAGCTTATTTAAAAGTAACTTCTCAGCCAGAGGCTCATGATCCTGAACTCACTATCATTCAAGCAAATCTCTTACTGACCTAGATCTGCCTCGATAAGGATGTAAGCTGAAACACAAAGTGTAGGAAAGTAAAACTTATCTGGTTTTCCAGAGAGGGCTGCATCCACAGTTCTGAAAAACAGTCTAAAGGGAAAAATCCTCTTTAAAAAATGAGTGTAAAATACGGAGGTACAATAGCTATAGCTTCCTCATACGTGTCAATATAATGTGTTCTATAAATTGTAAGAAGATGGAAGGGGCAGGGGGAAGATTTAAAAATCAATTCCCATGACAGCTTGCAGGACAAGCACATCCAAAAGTAGGAACATGTTACACTGTGAGCCTTAATAAATTAGTCTTCTACTAAGCACATACTTCTTTGCAGTTGAATTAAGAGTAGTCCAGTTTGGAACTATAGTTGGAGTTATTATACTATTACACTTCCAGAGAACAGAAATTTTGTTTATCTGCAGGTTAAATATGTATGGGGTTTATGGAATTTCAATAAAGTATGTCCCAGAATAACTCTGGGCTACACTTTATATGAATAAATATAAACACAAAAACCCCAGTGGTATATCTAATGCATATTTACACAAATTAATTATTTCTTCAGGGAATCTTATGAACAAAACATAAAGCACAGTCCCCCAAGTATACACTGAACAGTGCATCCAGTTTTTCAAGGGCAGTGAGGTGACAGTGATGTTCTTAAATATCTGTCTTCAAGATGTCAAAATCTATTAATTATTAAGGGTCACTGTTCACCTGCTAGGGTGCTACAAGGACTGGGTACTGGGAAAATGATCATAGAATCATAGAATGTTTTGGGCTGGAAGGGACCCCTAGAGGTCATCTAGTCCAATGATGACATATTCTGTTTGCAAGCAATCTGCAAAACAATGATTTTAACCTCTCAATTTGCAGAATACATGCCATGCTGCTCAAGAGCTCTTTCACAATGTATCTGTGCCAAAGAAACTTAAGAACTATCAGAGGAAGACAAACTGTCAGCAGCTTAGGCAACACGGTTTATCTATTCTGTATAAAGGGGGGGGGGGGAAGCTGTATATTGCCAAGTGGTATGACCTTGGGCAATACAGAACATGGAGTGTCAGCATTTAATTATAAAATTTCCTAGGGCCAAAACGAGCCACAATAACATGCAAAACCAGCATATTCCTGGTTAGTCCAGGGCAGCCCAATGATAAATACGATTAACGTTTCCAAAAGGAAAAGAGCATTGTCTTTGAACTGAAATGCTAAGAAAAGAGCCAAGCTCTCTTGGGATAGGGTTCCACTCAAAAGAAATGATGCACAGCCAGCAGCAATAGCACTCAGTCACCAGTTCTGTCTCTCTTCCCTCCCACCAAGTCCTACCCAGCTGCTTCAGCATTCACCTTAACATGCCACACACCTTGAATTCATGCCTTCATGAGGGAGGCAGATGCTGAGGCTCTGCCAGAGACAACTAAATCAAGAACAGCAGAAAAACATTTCACAACATCCTTTGCAAGATAAGAACTCCGCTGCTGAGCAGCTGGCTTGTTACAGACATCTTCTTCCTACCCTTCTATGCCCAGGAGTATGGCAAGCTAAGAACCACAGTATGAGATTAATGCAGTCTTTGTGCTCTCTTTAAGAGTTCCAGTGTGACTGGTTTTGCCAGCCTATGAAATTGCTAAACAAACACTGTACAAGGTCTCTTCAATTAGTCCAAGATTGCAAGGCAATAGTGGATTTAAAAGCACTGAAATAAAACTATGATAATGGTCTTGATAGTGCTAATCTGGAAGAGTTAGTCTGTGCTGTTTAAAGCCTTCATAATGGCCAGCATTCCTGGATGCAGCATATTTTGTCAGATAAATATATAATGAACTAGTTAAAAAACCAAAACCAACAGTATAAAAGGAATTCACAAGACTATAGCCCACAAAGACCAATGAGTTAAACTCCAGTAGTACAGGGAAAGATCAGCAAAGCTTTCAAAACATTTTCAATTTTTGTATCTGTTCTGTTGTTTATTTTCCACCGATGCTGAATGGCGTTTATTTTATCTAAGACCTATCTTATTCATTATTGTATTCAACATGTATCCGAAGCATTGTATGTTTCAGCAAAATATTCACACAAGCCTGTTAATTTCTTACCTTTTCTACAAAAAAAAAAAAAAAAAAAAAAAAAAAAAAAAGAAAGAAAAAAAGGGAACATTTAACAGGGAAAAAGAAAATATCATCTTTTCTCCTAGGAAAGTACTCTGAAATCTGAGCTATCAGACAAACTGCAACTACAAATGGGCAAATAAAGCCTCAAATTTAATATCACCTCTGAAAAGCATTACAGCTTTCAGAAAACTGAGCAGAAACAAGCTGAGACACAGGAAAGGCTGAGAGCCTCTTAGTTTAAGTGGTCCCTCCTTGGCTTGCTGGCCTCTGAAGAACCCAATTTATTATATAGGTGACTGCAACCACACTTGTCCCTGATAGGCAAGATACTTGGAGGCGACACTGAGTCTCTTTTCTGATGCTAGCTACATATCTCAACCAAAGCCTGCAGGTAAAACTTGGGGACAACAGTGATTCATTTTGAATGCCTTTTGTGGCGCTGACAGGCAGCAAACAGATAGCAAATTACCTGAAGAGGTGATGCTCTTTTTGAGAACCATGAGTAATGATACTAGAAAATTTAACTAGCAGCCCTTTTATAATTTAGTTTTTAACAATCAATGCAAATCCTTTCTAACACTCATTAAAGCCTAAACAAAACCCTTCTCTCATTACATGAAAATGAGACTGTAAATCTGTCTGTAAACCAGGAACTCAGGCAATTTAGTTTTCTCTACAGAATGAAATGCAACAGGACAACCCCCGGAAAGGACTTGTAAGTGAACAAAACCAAGTATAACTCAATGAAATTCAAAAGGCTGAAAGTAGGTCAGAACTGACTGAAGTGAATGATAATACAGGCTGGAAACACCAGACTGTTAGTGACTACTAGCAGAACTCAGTCCAAACACATCTGTAATAGTTTCCAAAAAAGCAAGAAAAGCTGATTTCCAGATACAGCTGTACTTTAAACTTGGAAGCTTCGTTCATTTTTGTGCTTACCTGACTATAAAGGGCCAAAAATGCATCTGTTTCTATATTTTCCAGGAGATCTTCAAGCACCACGCAATTCCATTGCTCATCTCTCAAGCTGAAGTGAAAGACAGAATTAACATTGAAGTCTTCCCAGGCTCAATGACTGTATTATAAGGAACAGTATCTGAAAGTCACCCACTCAGGAAGCGCATCTTTCTGTCAGCCAGCTGGGTGAGCAGCACAACTTCTAAAATAAGCCAACTTTTCCTACTTTCTCCCCCAAACCACCAAGCAAACATCAGAGCAGAATCAAAGGCTATGCTCTTGCACAGAATTCAAATTTGGAATCGCTCCAAAGCAACATGATTCAACCTGTTCCCATACTCTTTAAATTTCATCACCACACTTTATGGCAAGTTGTGGATCTTTTTGTTGCTGGAATATAATAGTAAACAGTTAACTTCCTCACTACTGGTGAATTTTTGTTTCTGGACCAAATCATGAAGCTATCCTTTATGTCATTTGGGGAAAGTACAAAGCTTGTTTCTTCCTTTGTGTTTTCAGGTAAACAGTAAAGGCTAGGTGCAGTTTCTTTGAAGGCTTCACTGATACATCTCTGCAGTAGTATCCGCAAGCCAGAACCTATCTGCTCTTCTAGTGACTCTACTTCTGCAACAGGAGAGTCATTAATCTACATTGAGTAGAGCTCCAGCTGTTTCAGAATTAAAACAGACTTAAGAGCGCAATAAGCCTATCAAAGCTATTTTTTAATATGTCAATTGTTTCATGGAAAGCCCTCTTTGTAACAGAAAGCACCCTCTCAGGATCTTACATGAACCTTGAAACGTGGTAGGCTTTCAGTACTGTGCAATACACATGGAAATGTAATTTCCAACTCCTATAACCCCAGTGAATGTAACACAATACCGTGCAATTTTGCAAATTATCACCCATTTTTGCTAGGCAACCTTCAGGACAAGACAGATATTTCTATATACCGCCGCCCCCCAAAAGGGTTTTTTTTTTTTTTTTTTTTGTCATGGATATCTTTGCTTAAAAACTAGCCAGGGAAAAGTGAAATTGAGCCTGTCTCTGAAGAAGAGTTTATATATCTCATCAGAAAGAACTGCGTGACAGGGAATTCAGTCTACAGTATGACAGTGGAGATGGAAATTCAATTTAAATTGTCTCAGCTAATTCCTCTGACCCCAGCAGATCAGGTTTCATTGAAGTCCCTACCTATCTTCCTGGGAGATGAACAGGATTAAAATCCTTTTCCTCCTTGCTGCTAAGGAGTATTGTTATTTTTCCACTGTCCCTGTCAAGGGACACAATCCATATGTAACTAAGTTATTATTATTTCATGTTTCTTATTTCGATGTCGCCAAGACTCCTCAGTTATGCTCTGGGCCACATCACAAAAATGCACTGTTCAAACATAGATGTATAGTCCCTCCGCAACACAGCAGAACACTTAGCCTGCTGTTTCTCTGTGGTATCTTATGGTCTATAAGGACTGCAGTAACTTAGTAAAACCCGAGACCAAAGCACTTACCTTTGCTGGTGCAGATTTATAAACTGCCTGCATTTATTCATGGCCTGTCTTAGCAGAACTGTCACCTGCCTGTCTGCATTTGCTTCCACAGCTTCACTTGAAAGTCCCAATCCATCCGGAGTCCATCCCTGCCTACTCATTAGATGCTGCTGCTGAGCTGACTCCTTATGCAACATCTCATACTCCAGCTTCCTGTCAAGTTCTTCAATCTCCTAGAGGATGAAAACACGTAATGATAAAAAGCCATAATTTAACTTGGAAGAACACATTTCATTTGGAGTGAAGAAAAAAAGATGATATCAGAATTTCTGATATTAGTTTATTCATTTCTCATTCTACCCAGACACTTGCAGTCATTACACTTTCCAATTCATTGCATGGCTTCAGTAAACATGACTTGCATGCTATGAACATCAGAACAATGCTGAAAGATATGAGTCAATTTTCATTGTGTTAAATGTCGATGTTGTCTGAAACCTTCCACTGTAGAGGACATCTAGAAAGTACACTGCCAGCATGGCTGAGATCCAAACGAAAGCATGGCACCATTAGAATTCATCTGGAAGCTGCATAAAGGCACCGCAGCAGCTTGAGAAACTCTGATTGACTCCTTTTAGTTACACTGAATCAATAGCTAATACCAAAGAGGTTTGAACTTAAAAGACAGTGATTCACATTTAGTGTGATAAAATTAGGGTTAAAATACAATGCTTTAAATATCAAAGGGATAAAACCCAAAGTCTTAAGTGGACTGGATCTCTCACACTGGAGATCTCTCTTTGGTAAGAGTCAAACTAGACATCAGAAGGATGACTTCATACTCCAGTTTTCCAATGTTATTGTTGTCTGACCTCAAACAAGTTGCTTAATATCTCAACGCCCTACTTCCCAACCTGCAGCTTGGAGAACATGCTGAATTTTAATCTATTCCTCCACCTTATCAGATGTATTCAGACTAGAATTCATTGGAGCATGGCATCTCTAAGTAAATATCTGCTCCCCGGTCAGTAAGATTTGACATTGGAGATTAGATCAACTCTCCTAATACCAAAAGCGAACATTACCTTGCTACGTCTAAGGGGATGAAGCAAATTCACATGTAGCCGGATGTGTTTGTTTCACTGACTGGACAAACTATCACTGATGCCATCAGCATTAGGGAATCCTGTGTATTCCAATATATTTGTTTTAAAGTAACAGGTACTTAAATTTGCCAGTTAGTGTGACAAAGGAGCAGAAATAAAACCCCGCAAGAGAGAAGGGTTTGATCACCAGGAGACAGTCCCTATAAACCAAGGTGCTTTGAACAATGCCTAAAATTACTTTTTTCCCCCAAAATAGGGCTCAACTCAGTTCTTGCACACTGGCTGAAGAATCCAGTACCAGCTACTTTAGAACTCTCTTCTGTCTCCCCTTCAATCCTTTTTCTTCATCTGTTCAAGGACAGTGAAGCTAAAAGCAACCTCTTTGCAGAGCCCTCTTACACTTACTGCATAAATGGCCATAATTGCAGATAGAATTATTTTTAATATTCTGTCTCCATATGACTTTCACTATTTCCCACAGATTTAATACAAATTTAAACAAAACTGGAAGCATATAAGCATTCTAACTGCCATTCTAAGAGAAACTCTGTAGAGATGACAGCATTAAAATTTAACCAGGAGTTTTAAGAGCAATAGCTGTCTAACGATGCCCTCTAGCAAAGAGGTTTTGCTCTTAAAAACCCATTTTGTTTGTTCTACTCCAGTGCTCTCCCAAGCCTCACTTGGATGGTTGCAAATAGCAGATGTAAAAAAAAAAAATCCTTAAGAATGCAGAGCACTGAAGTATTAAAAAAGGATTAGAAAACTGGCATATACCAAGTATGTAATAAATACAATGAAGGGAAGAGGTCTTTCCAAAGTTTCTACTATTTAAACTGTATGAGTGTGCGTGGAAGAAGACAGACAGGTAGGAGGCTCTATATATAATCTTTAAAAACTTGATGATTGATGCATGTTGTGTGGTTATGGATTTTACCGTATGGATAGCACTATAAGATTAACAATTCTGTAACACAGTCATGACAATTTACAGACTATCCCAGTCACGACTCACAATCACTTCCCAAGTGTCTTCCCTGCAATCAACATAACTTCAGTATTAACTAGCCACCAAAATACTGCTCTTTCTGACTGCAGATCTCTGGATGCTACTATAATAAAAATAAATAATAATAATACACAATCTTCCCTGGCTCTAATACTCTCCTTCTCTTTATTTCTTTTACTAAGTGCACTGAAGTGTGCATAATCACAGCAACTAAAGGCCAGGCCACCAGGAGCTGCAAACCAGCACAGCTAAATCAAAGTCAAATAAGCTACTGTGATAGTTGCTGTCTCCTAACAGGAATTTTTCCTTTTCACAACTTCATTACTTACAGGATTGTGTGCTTCTAAAATCTGAATACATTCCAATTTTGACAGGGTTTTTGATGTGCTCAGTTGTTCAAAGAGCAAAGCTTGTACACTTATGATAGCAGTATACAGCTCCAACATTTTGGATTTTTTAACAGTCTTTTCGAAGGCTAAAGAAGCAATATACTCTCTCAAACAAAAAAATACCAAAACACAAAAGGTAACAAGATTAACAGAAAACCTTACATGCATGCTCCTGATTTTATTGCTCTGCGATTAACAAGCAGGATTAAAGCAGCAAAGAAATCAATGCTGTTATCTTATAATGTAATACATTGTTTTAAAAATTGCTTTTAACATTATATTCCAAACTTCTGTGATCAAAAAAAATACTACATTAAGGTCAGATATTTCAAAGAGATTGGGCCTTGGTTTAGAGTAGTCATAACTTAATATTAAATACTAAACTCAAACATAGGGTCTATATAGTTTTTAATATAATAAAAGTAAAAATATAAAATATAAATAAACCTATGCTTACCTATGTGCTTGGTCAAAGATAAAATACATCCTTCTGTTCAGCAAAAATACAAAACTTACAAAAACTGTATTTAGTTTCAAATTGGCAAGTGTCAGTTAATACTGACCAATGAATTTCAACCTACTAGTCTTTAAGCAAATAACCAAAAATTCTCTTACATAAAACAAGGTTAAACTGTAAACCAAGAGTCTACTGGTAATGGATTTCAAACGAGATTAAAACTGGATCGAATGGATGTCAAGCAAGATTAAATCAAAATGATTTAACTCAACAACTGCATTGCTGCCACACATCTGACAGGACATCCATAGAAATTATTGAAGGGTGAAAGGCAAGCACAGCACATGCAAGCACATGATCAAATGCAACGTGATGGATGAGCTCTCCATGCTATACCACTGGCATTCACAGCCAGTGATATTGCCACTGTGACCATCTTTCTGCAGGACAATGTGGGCAGTAGACAGCTGCAATTACCCTCTTTAGATGCTTCCATCTGAACTTGTCACTCTAAGCTCCCTTTATAGTCAAAGAAAAGGAAAAGGTACTTCCTGGTATGTTTCATATCCTAAAAAATGTTTTTCCACTGATCTGTAAGTGTGGATATCCAGGTTAGACACTGATGGCTACACTGCACATCTAACATTTGGGAACCACATTGGCTGAACCCTCAAAGACAGTGAGTAATTATCAATTTGGTTTTATTCTCTCTGCCTGTATTATCCACATGGGCCCAGAAGTTGGACTGTAAGAAAGAAGACACTCATGCAACCATGAGAGCTCCAACTCCACCACTTCGTGTTGGTATCAACCATTGCCCTACGTGCTGGATTTAGAATAAAGCTAAGCACAGAACAGCCCATCTGCACACTGCTGGGTATCAGAGTGCAGGGGTTTTCCTCACTCTATCTTTAAATTCTCTTTTGGTCCTTACAAATCTAACCAGATAGATTTCACAGCATACAAAACCAAAAAAGTTTTCAGAAACCAGTATTTTCAGAAGTTTCCTGTATTACGTATTTTAACAGTAATGCTCAAGTAACTACTGCCTGTGACAGAATGGAAGAACCACAGCCGTCAAAGGAGGCATCTCAGAAACTTCCAGATAAGTTTGGTTAAGTTTACTATCACCACGGCACCTGAGAGCAGGTACTCACATTTGCATTCTTTGTAAAAGTACTTATCCCACCAAGTTTGGTCTCTCTCAAAGAACAAGCAGAGATGAACATCCCTATTTAATTGAGGTACCTACATGGTTAGTATCTTAGCATGGTAGGCATCCTACGGTACAGCTTTCTACATGCATTCTTAATCTCTTTACAGCTTTACCAGTCTGTAAGAATAATAAAGACCAATGGTATTTGCCCTGCAAGCGTGAACTGCAACACTGTAAGGTGAACTGTAGTCTTCAGACACTGTATGACTTCCCCTTGGCACAAGACCTGATTTTGCCCCTCAGAATATCTTTGCACAACCAGAGATGGTACATACTCCAGACATTAAAACCTTATTAGCTTTCTATTCATGCTAGTCAGAATTATACATTATTGACTCTATTCATGCTTAGCTTTAAAGGAGCATTTAAGGAGACTTCCACCAAGTTTTTAGATCCCTAAGATGATAAATATGTAACATGATGCCCACAAATTTTCTCTAGAAATTTTATTGGTAAGGGACCTGCTAGAACTGATTATGTATCATACAAATTCTATTATCCAGTAGATAGAGTTAAATTTTAAAATGTGATTTGGAACCACATGTGCTTGTGATATTCACGCTCACGTAATATTCTCCAAAATCTCCATTATATCATCTGGAATGTCCTTGAAAGCAATAGATGGAAGGTTACTTTCAGGAAATATTTCCTACTAACATGAATTAAGCCAATTACAACACAAGAGTAAGAAATCATCCTACAGACGCGAAGTAGAGGCAAGATTCATTTTCTTGATATCTTTAACAAATCTCCATCTTAAAAGACAGACATTGTCTCTCAACATTACTGTTAATCTAACAAACTGATCTTGAATAACGTAGGTATGTGACACTAAATAATAAGTAAGTATATAGGTTACAAATAAACATATAGGATATTTGAGTTAGAAGAAGAATTCAGCTGAGAGATCATACTGGAAATATGGTGACCAAAATGCTAAAAAAGAAGCTGTTATTTCTGAACATGGGAGACAGATCTCCAGTGAAAAGCAGAAGAGATGGCCAAAATGAGGAGTTTATGGAAAAATAGCTGAGCTGCCTTCCAGTACTTGTTCAAAAAAACGTATGTTTCAGTTTTCAGTAGGAAAAAAAAAAAAAAATCAATAATCATAGTAGTAATTTTTCATATCTACCTTCTGTGTTCTTTGCAGGCAGGCAAGAAACCTATTAGAGTGAATTTGAGGCCTTTGTTTTCTGTAGCATGCTTTTTACTGAAAAGCAAGTAACTTTAGCATCTCCCAGTAAAGCTCCCGGTCCAGCAGCTCACAGGCACTTGAAGGTGTATCCTGTACTCTAACAGCACCAATCAGAAATCAAAGACAGAAACTTCCGCAGAATATCCTACCAGCCATGACTGATCACAGGACAGCCAATCCCACCCTAACCCAGTTTTTGGGGGGAGATTTTTGTTTGGTTGGTTTATTTATCTTGTCAGAGCAAATTTATTTTCAAAATCCAAACTGTTATTACAAGATAGTCTTATGAGCCAGTGACATAAGACTAAAGCCTAGAAGGCAAGACTATTCCACATCTCAGTGCCACAGCAAATATTTAAAACAAAAATAATAATATTTTTTTAAAAAATCTTTCTTCAAAAGCCTGTGCACAAGACTAATTTCTCAAATAAGACTTAAATTTTTGTTCTGAAAGGGACATTGAATTAATTATTGTACTACCGATCACTGACACAAGACCATGTTCTCAAAAGCAATTAGCAATTTTCAGAGCCGTGTTGTCTGACTGTCCAACGTCTTGAGGTCTCAGTTGTGAAGTTTCCATTGACTTGCCTCCACCCCTCTTTTGGGTGGTGAAAGTTGTTGCACTCTTAGGTGATTCTTAAAGAGAGGATGGAATGGGAATGAGTCCTTAACAGTAAACAGACATGTTACCAAATACCAGAATAGCTTCTAAAGGAAGAAAAGGAATTTATATCCGATTCAGCCAGCCACTTAATACTTAGCTCTAACAGCAGCTGCTATCTAGCAAGGTGTTCAGGGAGACGCGTCGCTACGGCAGCCACCACTTTAAGGGGCAATTCATGTTAGAAATGAACCAGGTTGAACAAGTAATGCCAAAAGTCACCTTTAAAAACTTTGGCAATGTTGAGTTTGGAGTTTACTTAAAAGTAGGAAGATGAAGATGGATGAGAACAACCAATGTTTTTGTCACAAGAGACTAAATGATTTATATTATGATTTCCATTACAATAGAACCTATTCAAGGAATAGAAAAAAAAATTCAAGCAGACCTACCTGACTAGAAGTAAATAGGTCCACTTTCAAAAGAACTAATGCTTTAGAGCCTATATGGTACTCCCTATTCAACATTTTAGGGCAGCCTCTTAACTAATTATTTAATTACTTATTTATAATAAATTATTACAACTCTAGTAGCTTGAATGAGTTATGACAACATACACACACTGAGGAGCTGGCCTTTCTTCCAGCTTTTAGTTACACATCTAAGGTACTGCCTGCCAGAATACACACATTTTTACAATATCTCAAAAAAGGGGAAAACAGATGCTCGAGGTATGAATTTTTTTATATGACACAACATTAGTAAGTAATATATGAATGCTGCCTTTGTGGTTTAGGAACAGGATATGCTATAAACCTCTAAAAATGCAGATAAAATTACACAGAAATGTTTTGACAAGTGTGTGCACACAACTGAATTTAAAGTTTGCTTCTTTCTTCAGAGGAGGCTCAGTTTCAGACACAAGGATTTTAAATGAATTATACATATATGAAATCTGGGGATGGATGAATGAATAATGAATAGATGAATGAGTAAATGAGTGATCACCTTTAGTGTAAGTTTGAACCCATTAAAATGAATAATGAATAAGGATAGAAATGCAGTTTGACAACTCAAGTTCACTTATAAGGATACACAAGAATGTATATTTTAATTACAGCTGAATTCAAACGCAAAAGAGGTGACACTGATGACTAAAACACTTCTACTTTTGTCAACCACTTCAAATAACAGGAGGTTTATATGATATGTTCAGTATATTCCATGAATCATAAGATTTATGGTCTAAACTGCAAAACTAGATACTATTTACACATTATTAAATATGAAGCCGTATGTTAAGCATGCCCGAATACACAGGAATGATGTTCAGCTTTGTCATTCAGCATCTATTTGACATTATACAGTAAATTAACTGCTCTTAACCAAATAAAATGGTGCATTACTCAACTGGTACTACTATCTACCCCTAGCCACCTGAGTTTCTTTCTGCCTCTTGTCAGCTCTGAAATCACAGCTCTGCAAACAGAAATACATTTGTAAAAATCAAAACTTGCAAGTAGACCTGACTTCCATGTGACACAGGTGACTTCAGTAGAAGCTGGATCAAATACTGATTACAAACTAAATTATAAACTAGTTAGAAACTAATATCCCCTGGCCATTCTTGAAGTCTTTTATCATATGAAGCAGAAGACTGTAAAATACTGCTTGACATTGTACTATTTGACATAATATTATTAGTGTCAAACTACTTCGGTTATGATGAATCAGCTCCCGTAGGTCTGAACATTGGCTGCTGATTCCATCTGAAACATCCAAACTACGTAAAAAATTGCCAATGCTGAAAACACACTATGATTAGCCCATAGCTTGAAAGCATTGACTTCTAAATTCCACATTTAGTTCAGACTAATTGCTAACTGGTGTTGTCTCAGTCCTAAATATTACAAACAAAAGGAATAATCTGAAAATGTACTTGATTACCTGCAACCCCAAAGACATTTCTCATGCAGGTCTTATTATTGGGTTTTTTAAGCCCAGCAGGGAAAACAGACTAAAGTATGTCAGTATTTTTACCACTGGTAACTGCTATTTCAGAATGGAACAGCTACTTTCTCATGCACAGGACAGCTCAAAACAGCTACGAAACACAAAAGAAGTAGATACAGCCTACTTGTGAAGATTTTCACAGCAAGGTCAATGATACTCTCCAGTGCTCCAAGACCAGACTTCAAACTTCTTGCCACGGCCTCCCAGTTCACTACCTCCTGTCTATGAGTTATTCTTCTCTGTCATGCCTGTTTTACAGTATTACAAAACACATTCTGCTGCTGCTGCTTTCATACGCATTAGCTGTAAACCATTTCACAGCTATCCTGTAGTGAGACAGAACCCACAACACGGTGTGAAGTCTGCAGAAGAGCAGCAGTGAAGGAAGAAATGCGGCAGAGCTGTATTGTTCCAGCATCCTTTTTCCCCTACCTTGAATTGGTTCTGAAACTTCAGATGGTTACTTTTGAGTTAGATGACAGAAGTGTTCACATGAACACAAAATTTAGAAGTGTAGGATTCTAAATGAGGAACAAGGTAACAGTGCAACAGCCAAAAGAAAGAAACTCTGCTTCTGTGATCAGCACAAGGTTTACTGCAATACTTCTGTGTCCTAACAATGTGAGAAATAATGATTTTCCTTAGCAATGGTTTAGCTTCCTTATTGGGAAAAGCCCAAAGCATTTTGTTTTTTTACAACTAATGTGCAGCCATACAATTAGAACAACAATAGGTATGCCAGATGGGGCATAACAAACTGAAACAGTGAGGCTCAGAGAAGCTAACTTCCCAGTTTTAAAACAAGATTCTAACAGAAATGTAAGGTAAGGTAAGGGTCCCTTTCAGTAAACTGTGTGCAAATAATCTCAGCCCCTACCCAAGAAGTCTTTCAAACTAAGAACCCATTTCTGGGTTTTCAGTAGCGTTAGGAGAGGTCCAAGAACTAAATCTTGCTCAACTGAAGTATGCAGTGAACCACCATCTGGCAATGTGGGCTCGCAGCCCCGAAAGCCAACCGTACCCTGGGCCACAGGAAAAGCAGTGTGGCCAGCAGGTTGAGGGAGGTGATTCTGCCCCCCTACTCGGCTCTGGTGAGACCCCACCTGCAGTGCTGCATACAGCTCTGGAGCCCTCAGCACAGAAAAGACATGGACCTGTTGGAGCAGGTCCAGGGGAGGGCACAAAAGTGATCAGAGTGAGGGAGCACCTCTCCTGTGAAGATAGGCTGAGAGAGTTGGGGTTGTTTGGCCTGGAGAAGAGAAGGCTCCAGGGAGACCTTACTGTGGCCTTTCAGTACTTAGAGGGGGTTTACTGTAAGAACGATGGGGACAAACTCTTTAGTAGAGCCTGTAGCAATAGGACAAGGTGTAATGGTTTTAAAGTAAAAGAGGGTAGATTTAGATTAGATTAGATGCCCCATCCCTGGAAACATTCAAGGTCAGGTTGGATGGGGCTTTAAGCAACCCGGTCTAGTGGAAGACATCCCTGCTCATGGCAGGAAGGTTGGAACTAGATGACCTTTAAGGTTCCCTTCCAACCAAAACTATTCTATGATTGTAAGTTTTGAAAGCCTTACTAAGAAAGCCACAGGTTCTAGGGGAGTCTTGCAATCATGTATATGCCAATTCCCAGAACCACTGGCAGAAAAAAAAAGGGTGAGACGCGAAATCAGTTCTATGACTAAGGTGCAAAAATTAAAACAAAGCCAAAACTATTAAGCTTGAAATAAAACACCTTGACAAAGACAGGCAGTAGAGAGATGCATCATGCCACTACACCTCATGCTTTTTTTATCTGGTTCTTACTCACACTGATAGAAAACTATAATTTTTAATTACTGAAGATCTAGGTTTTGACCTCAGTACAGAAAACATTTGCACTTACCTTATTTAAATTTTCATCTTTCACTGAGTCTTCATAAATGAAAATTTTGTCCTGTAAAGATTTCTTCAGAATATCTATCTTATTTCTATTCCTGGATCCTGTTTTTTTCATTTTAGAATGTTGCTGTGAGAAGATGAGCATAAAATGCTTTATTTTTAAGAGGTATACAAGGATGCTAACATTAAAATTATTACTTGCTATTATTGGCAGATCCACCAATTAATGAAACACTTGGCAAAGATGACTTTCACTGAGAAAATATTTCTGAAATGAAGGTGCTGCCTATTGATTGAGAAGATTGCTTTCAGACATTCAGACAAAGCTGGAGATTTCGTTTTTAATTTCTTTCAAGCAAAATTATATATTCACCCTTTCCCTGAAAACTGCTAGCACATAAATTTGATTTTAAGCAAGCTTTAGCAGTGATAAGAAGAGAAGATTTTAACTGATATGTTGTCTCCTCAGTATGGTTAAAAATGAACAAAGAATATTAATTAAAGAACTACATTGTTTTCAAGACACTGTATATGAATCACAAATGAACCATGATAGCATTATGGGGCACCATTCCATGTAATCAAATTATTCTTGACCTTTATGTTTCTTTACAAGAATATCAACTAAGTATAATGTACTCTTGGGGAAACGATAACATCTGTTCAACTGTAAGGCTTTGCAAAGTCATTTTCCTTTAGTACTTCAGAAATCATTAAGATTTTGAACTAGGCTAATTCCTAGTACAATTAACCCAAGTTAGTTTACACATTTAGAAAACATAGCTGAACAAAAACAAAGCAAGGGAAATTCCTCCTTTTTATGATAGTATCGGATGCAATTCATACCGGAAACACTTTTCTTCGCTCCTATTTAAGAATTCCACAGGTTTTACATTTTACTGAAGGAATTTAATACCGCTCATGCCTTTGCTACGTGGACAATACAATGTAGGACATTCCCCTAAAAAAACCTCCGTAAATCTTTCCTTGATTTAGTGCCAAATTTAGTACTGTGTAGGGGCTGCCAGAGAAACCTTGGTTTGGGCTGTAAAGGACCCAACTTGCCCCTGACATTCAAAGCCAGGCTCAGTGCCACTCCAACTTTTGGCATTTCAGTTGACTCTCCTCAGAGTTGCAGCCCCTTTTGGTCACCCATCTGCTTCTTTATACCTATGCCGCCTTCTTGGGAAAGCTGGAGGACATGTAAGCAGCAGAAATACGCAGGCAGATGTGAGGAAAATATTTATCCAACTGCTACCCAAACAACTATCTTTAAGGTCCACTGACCCACACAGACAGAAGCATGCACTGCTGTGACACTATGGAGAAGCCATGGACCCATATCTGCAGCTGAGGCCAGCAACCTGCGGATACACCCATGAACCCCTTGCACATCCCCACAATGATCCCACATCATTCCCACCTGTTTATTGGTCATGGCTAAACTCTGATCAACTTTTAGCAGTTCTGCATCCCTCTGCTCTTCCTCGAAAGCCTGAAGCAAGGTTCTTGCTCTTATCTTGGGCCAAGCCAAGCTGCTGTCCACCTGAGAGAAACAGCAGTGCAGCTCTTGCCTCATTCTAAGCAATTCCTCTTTTGATAGTGAGAGGGGTACACTTAGAAGCTGCCTGTTAAAAGAAAAAAAGCCATTTGCTGTTCAGTGATACAACCAATTTTACAGAAAACATGAGAGACATGCAAAAAAATTTTTATATGACAATGACCATCTTTTATTCATACATCAGTTAATGATTTCACACATAGGACTGAGGTGCTCTGCATGTTCAAAATATCCTTGAGGATACTTTAAATTCTGCATATGGAACTTCCTGGACTGTAAAATTTCATTTTCAAGGGGAAAGAGCTTTTGAATATTTAATAAAAAAAATAAATAATTTTAGCACATTTTCTATGCACAGAATCCTTCCACCTTTTCAGACAATACAAACCCTGAAGTTAGGGCTGAAATGGAGATAAAAGTTTCCTGTAAAGCCTCTCTGTGCTGTTTCCCAGCACTTAGCAGTCACAGCTACTGAGAGGGGGGAAAAAATAAAATAAAAAAGTATCTCTTTATTATAAACTCCTATATGTCATCCCTCCCATCACCAAGTCACAAGGGTTCCAGCTGTTCTTTGTAAAAAAGCTTTTAGCAGTCTGAACAACATGGAATATATTTTAGCAGCAATTTGAATCACTCAGATTTCCCGTTTTGTAGAAGGAAGGTTCTCAACACAGAAGTCTGGGGAACTGATTCTCAGGTCAAGATGAAGCTGATTTAAAAATAAAGCATGCTAAAGCCTAAATTAGTCTTCCAGTCGTGACTAACCTTAGACTACCTTCATCATCTTATCTCGTGATCGAAATATTTCCTTAAGAGTATTTAATAAAAAATAGCATAGTTTTTTGTTTGGAAATTTTCTCTATTTCCCAAAAAAATGTATTGGTATTTAAAGCATGAACAGTAAGTATTTTTCTTTTAAAAATATATTATACTGTATGTTCCATTAGGACTGATGCTTTTATTTAGTATATCACAAGCCTATACCGCCTCATCATTTCACTAATAGTTTTCTGAGTTTAGATAACCTTATTTCTGTTTACTGATTCAGCAAAGTACAGCTAAACCCCAAGCCAAAACATTTTTTACACATTAAGTTTGTCTCTTTGAAAAATTACTTATTTTAGGGCAATATTACTCCAAGCAAGCATTTACAGTTTCTCATGTTGTCTTTGACTTTTAGAAGAAAATCCATACTATAGATCCATATATACAGATATACAGACAGAGGTATAAAAGAAAATACAACAAATCACAGTTTTGTCACGTCCATGTTTAAAAAGGACTTTAAGCATTAACGATCTTCATAAATATTTTGGACTAACTCATAGTCTCTTTAATAAGCAACCAAAATGAAAAACTCTCATTCAAATTAATTCTCTGTGAAAATTAGATAGCAGATGAGAACATAAACATGAGAGCTGGCGTCTGTCATCGAATTATTAAAATTGACAGAGAGTGGACTGAACATAAAGACAGCTACAGATTTTAAGGGGCTTTTGATAGAACAGTTGTACAAACGCTGCATATTTGGTATTTTCCAGTATTTTACCAGAAGAAACAAACAGCTTACTGTTGCTGTAAATAAAAATAGCATTTAACAAATACAACAGGCGACAGTGCAGGCTGGAACACAATTATCATGGAATCGTAAGTTAGAAATAGGAAAGACCCGCTGGGTCATACAATCTCCTTCCCGGCTCGTGCAGGTCTGCTCGCAGTAATATAAATAAGAGATAATAAGACAAGCTAGAAAATACATTGAAAAGGCTTACAGAAAAGTATTTAAAATGCTGAATAAAATACAAAGGCCTTGAAATTATAATGAAAACAAGACAAATAGAATTTTTTTTTTTTCTTTAACAAAGTAAACATACAATGGGCAAGGTTTCTATTCATATTTCTTTTACGTGGCTTGACACTGTGCGGCAGGCAAATTTACAAAGATGCTGCCTGGGCAAAACTGCCCGTGCAAATCTGTTTTGCCTTAAAGAGGAGGTATGAAGGAGAAACCTTAACTCCTGATCTTCCCCACCGCCCCCACCCCCCGTTCAATTTCTCATGCCCAGTACATTTGCTCCAGGGGCAGACAGCCTAATATAGGTTTGCCTGTTCCAACTGCTTCCCCTAAAGCTGCAATTTTGACAGAAGACTGTCAAATCTTCATTTTCCCATGTCTCTCATAATGTCTGTTATTAAATGGATGCTGTACAGGAAACAGTGTAAATATTCAGGTAATACAACAACAAGTCATAAATGTACTTGAAAGCTAAGAAGAAATGCTAATGAATGGTGCAAATCTCTCGGGAACCTTGCTACCAAGTCTGAGAGGCACCACGCACGTCAACTCTTGGCTGAAACCAAGGTCTCTCCCTGAGCAAGGTCTCTCAGTGGTGACAAGGCCAACACTCGCTTTCCCACCTCCCCAGGGTCACATTGTAGCAGGCAGCAATGGCCAAGATACGTGCCCAGGGCCAGCAAAACTCTCTGCAAAATTGCCCGTGCCATGACACCCCTCTGGCTGGGGGCTTAGTGCCAGGGACACTGTCAGCAGGCCAGATCGGCCAAGTCTGGCATGTGGAGCTCATGAGCTGAAGAGGTACTCTACTGTGCTGTGTATTTATGAAATATGGGGAAATACTGTGGCAGAGCTTAAAATGAGCACCCGATGAGTAAGGCTTGACTTGTGGCTGGAAGGAATATATCAAAATTGAATTGAGGGCTAATTAGGCCTGACATACTAAATGACATTTCCAAAGTGCTGGACCTCTGCGAACAGACTGAGAATAATAAAGAAAGATGTGCAAGCGAAACCTGACACGGAGTGAACAGAAGTATAAAACCACTCCACCTTTTTGGTTTCAAAACGGCCATTTCCCAGGATTTCCACTGCAGCGCCAGGAGTGCCAGCTTACTCGCTGGTGCCACAGGGACTGAGCGCTTGTGAAAAATCAATTCCCAAGTGCACAACAGAGAACTGATCATTAGGAATTACACACAGACAGGTGTGAAAACTCGTAGTTCAGCTCTATTTGGAAAAATAACTAAAAGAGAAGGATACAGAGAGATACTTGCATGAATACTGATTGTTCCCAGCTCCTTAATTTTTTTTGTTCCAAAAGGCTCGTTTCCAGTTCTTGGCTCAGCTTCTGCCTGGTGAGCTGAAGCAGCTCTTCAGCTGCCGTGCTCTTGTCACGCTCTTCCCTTTGAAGTTGTTCATGTTTTCCAACCATCTCTTTTTTATGCTCCTCCACAGCTTCCAGCAGGAACATCTTTGGCACACTGAGCTTTACCAGTTCTTGCACAAATATTCCATACTGAACACGTTTAAGCTCTTCAACAGTTTTCTCTGTCAGACTAAATAGAAGCTCTTTCAGCTCTTCACTGGCCTCATTGTCAAGCTTTTCAGTAAGTTCTTCAAATTCAGTGGTGTGATCATTCAGAAGATTTTTCCAGTGGCTCAGATAGTGAGTGACCTCCGTAGTAGTTTTGAAGGGGTCTCCAAGTAACAGCTGCTCCTTTCGATGCTCTTTCTGCTGATTCATTTGCCAAAAGGAGGTACAAAGTTAAGAGAAGGAACATCCCAATTTCTAGCTCTAAGTATGTATATTTCAAAGCAACGGAAAATTTCATACAGCTGTTTTTCAGTGTTCTCAAAACTGCTTTTCAGTGTCCAGAGACACTAGGTAACTAGCCCTCAACATGATGGCTTTGTGTGCAACTAGTAGGCCTGTGATAATTTGGATTGTTGCTAGATAGAAGGGCTAACATCTAAACAAATGCATGATCCTGTGGTCTGACATAATCCGAACTGGCTGACCTGTAATGATCTGGGATCTGGTAGCATTCCAGAAGTAAATCTGGATCAAATACCAAGGAATTAAAAAAAAAAAACAAAAAAAAAAAAAACCAAAACAAAACCAAAAAACCGGAAAAAAAAAGGCTGGGGTTGTTTTTATTTTATTGTCCCCATCTTACAGCATGCAGCAACTTCACTGGAAAGCTAAAGCAAAGCTACCTATACTGAGAATAAATACAATGAATGAAGTCTCCATTGTTATATTTGCTGCCTCTTCTTGCGCTGATAAGAGCGGAAAACACTGAAACATATATCCCGCAAAAGGTAAAATGAATCTTGCTTAACTTTGGTCATCTGAAGAAACGTCACCTAATCCAAGACGGTTTTTTCTACATCCTTTAGGCAGAAAGGTAGGGACCTTTGGATAACAACTCAGATTTATCTCAGATCACCTGCAAGTCATCTTCTATTATGAGATGATTTGGAGCTCTTGAATTTAGCCTTGATTTTTAGATGGCTGAGGTTAGGTGACCCAAGTCCTACCACAAGCAGCCACAGGTGCAGCATCTTCTAAATAATTTTGTTCTGTAGCTGAATTTTAACTATGCTGTAGAAGTCATTCAAGTCACACATAGCCAGGAAACCCACAGAAAACTATGACTGTCACAGATCTGCACCATCTCCCTCACTGACTCCAGAACCTCAGTTGGCTTTTGCCTGCCTGCACATTGTAGAGGCCTGTCATAACCCCCTGGGACAGGTTAGAGTAAGTAGAGGGGCTTCGCAAGTTGCTCCAGTTGTATTGCTTTCTTGCAGGTTTTTCTAAAAGAACAGCTATTAATTACTGCATAATTAATGCTGCACATGGCAGTGCACAGCTAAAAACAACGGACACTTATCTTCATCCACGCTCCTGGCAGTGTTGACCTCTGTCCTAAGAACTCTACTTTACTTTTCAATTCATTCCTTTTTCAATTCATTATAAGTCCTGTGAAAAATAACTATACTGAAAATAATTACCTTTTGTAGCATTTCCCGCCTTCGCTTGGTAATGAGTTTCTGGCGAAGCTTTTGCTTTTCTTGTTTTAAATCATGATCGAATTTCTGTTTAACAGAATTAATTTCAGCCTCCGCTCGGTCCAGCAGCACTCCCAAATGACTTTCAGGTAGATGACCTGCTCTGCAATAACAGTGTTTGAAGCCTGTTATCCCAAATTCTTAAGAGCAAAAGAATATTTGAGGCAATTAGTACCATAATAAGGCTCAGCAAAGCAGACACACAGAATGATCTTTGTTTCTTTAGCAGTGATACCTGGAGGGATCAAACAAGCAAGTGGACAACAGACAGATAACCGCAGAGATGAGTGTGAATTGAAGCAGTTCGTGAAGGTAGCATGAAGGCATATGAAGAAGGAATGGAAAGAAGGAAGGAAGGGAAGGCAAATGCAGAACCAATCACATATCAGTTAGTAATGTGATATTCAAATGAGACATTTTAAACCTTATATATTATTCAGAATATTTACATTTTTCATTTCATGCCCTGGAATGCAATTCTAGATGCCTATGATAACTCCTTCTCCTCATTAGAAACAATTTTCTCTTTAAAGGATGTAATCTAATCAAGTAAAAACAATTTAAAATTATTTTAGAGATACAAAGCAATCATAGCCATGAAAAGATTTATATGCAGATTTCCTATTACATTTACATCATCAGAAAAATTATAAAGATTTCAGACTAACAGTGAAATACAAAAATCTAACAGAGCAAATTCTCAAGTCTTAGGCACAGAGAGCTTTCAAATGGAAGTTTAAGACTACGGTCTACCTCCAGCTGCTACAGTATTGAATTTCAAAGACTAAGCAAGATCCCAACCATGCCTGCAACAGTGAGAAAACTCCTTCTCCACAAACTCAAAATTTCAAATATTACTTGCTATTATATTTACACCAGAAATTTCCCACATCTTTTTCAGACAACAGAAGAATAAAAGAACATCTTAATTCAGACCAGGCTGTTGGACACTTGTGAGTTACAATTTCTAATATTAAACACAGTGAACTTCCAAAATGTGGGGTTGAAAAGGTCAAAATGGACATTTGCATAGAAAGCACCAATTCCTGACCTGAACCTGGATGTTGTCCAAACACTTTCTTGCTGCAACAGATGAAGATAGACGTGCTGGAACTATCCAGCAAATGAAAGGTACAGGAAAAGCCATGCGACATAGAATGACTGAAAGATGATACCTACCTATTCTTAGAATGAAAAAAAAACCAAACCCGACGAGAGTCTACATTATTTCAGTTTCAGATTGTTAATTCATTTAGTGATCAAATATGTCCACAGCTCAAGCTGAAGGTGATGCAGTATTGTGAAACCTATCTATTTACTTATTTGGTATCTACTTATTTAGAAATCCCAGATAACAAAAATAATGGGCAAAACATCTACCACCACAGAAACCTATGTGAGTTTATGTAGCAACTTACATTAATCAGTACTACAGTAATTCCTAGAAGGCTCAATCCTGGCATGAGACCTTTATTTCTGGTTTCGTATAAATACAGTATAAAAACAGTTACAGTATTAGAATTAAAAGCTGTCCTGTTCCCAAAGGACTCTGAACTGAAACGCAAAATAAAAGGAGAGGAGAAAGATAATGAGACAGTATAGACTGATAAACTGCTTGGTCTCAGCATACCAGACACCTAATCACTGAAGAAATGTGCAGGCACGTGTTTAATGCCTTTGAACAAGGAGAATTTTAATGAAGGAGAATATTGCAGTAACAACAAGGATGTTTACAGGGAGATCCTCCCAAATGCAGCAAGAACAGAGGATGAAGAGGAGCAGAGATGAAGACTGTGGCCAGCAGCTGCGGCCAGCAGCTGCAGTATCACCCGTCAACTGGAGGCAGACCTCAACTTCTCTGTACTGAATGAAAGCCAACAAAATTAGGAGAAACTGTGAAGTGAAAGCACTAAAATTAAAAAATAGTAGTTTGTAGTTCATGCTATGGAGAACTATCTAAGTGATGCTGGACCCCAGCAAAGGAAGACTGTTTTGTGAAAGCTACAGAAGGCACGGGAGCATCACTAAAACATAAGGGAGACAGATACGAAGCAGAAAAGGTGTACCAGCCTGGACGTATGTAGAGGCTGAAAAACACTACAGAGACTATACAGAGAGAACCTGCAAGACCGTGCCCACGTTACTCTGCTTCAGCTAC